TATACCAATCGGCTATAAGTATGCCAATCGGCTATAAATAAGATAGGTCGAATTTTGGCTGATTCTTGGCCGATTTCGATGTATGCCAATCGGCTAGGTTGATTTTGATAATTTGCCGAATTTAAGTCAAATTTAGGCTGATTTTAGGCCGATTTTCGCATGTCCGATTTTTTTGATTTCGACCAGTGTTACCAGAAATGCATTAACTCGTTTTACAACTGACTTGTCATTACATTTTATTCCAGGACTTTTGGAATTTAATAAGATATCACAGATAGTGAAAATATAAGCACAATGCATCATCAGGAGTTCCTTGTCTTTATACTGCTTGAAAACAGTATCCCAATTCTCACAAGTAATTCGTCATCAGTAAAAAGCACGTCATAAGCGGCTTGTGTTTTTTCACTTAACTTCCATTCAGAAATCTTAATTGTTGGTATATTGTTATCGATGTGATCTAATCGTTCGCCATAGACGAAAAACATCATATGATAGATACTTGCTACAATGTCATTTCGTTTACTACAACATTTGGCTTTAATCTAAAAACAAAATAAATAATGGAATTATTGAAGATCTCTTTAAAGTTTTGATATTTCAACTTACTTCTGGTAACAACTTTTCTTTGAACATAGAAATCCAGTTATTTCTACCTATACTTTCAATAAAATGGTCGGCATATTCAGAAAGAAAGTCTTCTAATGCCTTGCGAAATTCGCACAGGTCAAAATATGATATGTTGGGATAAAATCATTATACTGATTCTTTTCCGATTCTTTACTCATTATATTATGATGCTGTTCAGATGAACATATCTGACCATTCACAGATTCCTGCTACCTTTCTGGACAAAGCCGATAAAATATCAGCATAAGAATACTTCATAAGCATCAAATTTAATCATTGAAGAATCGGGTATATGAAATATCCTGATAATTATCTTATATTTATATGATTATTGTTTATTCTTTTGAGTTATCATAAAGTGTCTGGAAGATATCATTTAATAATTAGAATACTATTCGTGAATATACATATACTGATATTTCATAACTAACGTTAATCAATTTATTAATCTATTATAGCAATAGCAATAGCAATAAAATATTACATATAATGTAATGTTATACGATTTAAATATACAAATAATATAACACTAATTAAATAATAGCAAGTATATAGCTTCTTTGTAATCCTCGCCATCTTTCGCTTTACCACACATCTTGAAATGAAATATTTGTGTTAGAAACTGTAAAAATTTTTCGATATTAAAATAAAATTACTATAGTTATGATTCTTATGTTGTTAAACCATTTTTGCCATCATCAAATGTACGATAAGATTGAGATATCGCACATTTTGGGGCATCTTCTGGTGGTTTAGACTTGTCGATCCATTTATTGTCATCATACCAGTGATGACGTGAAATTTTTATGTGGCTAACGTTCTCACCGACTTGGTCAGCCTTGCGATGTAAATTATGAACCTATTTAAACAAAAAAAAAAAAAACGTTAAATAAATAATAAATATACTAAATGATTTATTATAACACTTACACAGCTTGATCTCCATGGCTTGTCATAAACATGAATAACATATTTATCTGATTGGTTTTTATTTTTTGGTCAGATTTTTTCCGCAATTTCTTCATTTGCTAGTTCTTTATCGGTCTCTGATACCTCATCACTATGATACTTACCTTCATTTATTATTAATTTGCAATCATCTTTATAATCATCCCATGACAATAAGGTTGGTCAAAGAGTTTCAAAAGAATCATCGTTAATAGCTAACTTATGTAAAAACTCCTTCTTTCATCATTCCTTTTTCTATTGTTAAAAAAAAAACTGTATAAATCAAATTTTTTGATATGCTGTTTCCTTATCAGTTACTTACATCACCTTTTCAGGAATTAGTTCCCTTTCTTTTCTTATCAGATTTGACCTTACTCAGATCAAGGCTTAACTTCCATTGTGCTCGACGATGACGATGTAATTGCTGTAAGATCCATTTTAATTCTGTCTCTTTATAACGAAATCTACCTAACAAAACTTTTCCAATTTCCTTCATAATGTTCTTTGAAACATGTTGAGAGATTTCACTCCATTTTTTGGTTGGATCGAGATGCAATGAATTGTTCAAGTCCTTTGAGGATTTGTACTACCTCATCCTTAATTTAACAAAAAATAAATAATATTTAAAAATATATTATTAAACTGATAATTAATTAATACTTACATGAAACAACTTATATTGTTGTTCGGACATATCTTCCAAAACAATACGAGAACGATAATGATATTCGGTAGTCGATTCAAGAGGGAGGAATACATCTCTTTATATTGATGATTCATTTTGTATTTGTTGATTTTTTTTAAGGTTGTGAACCTCTTCAGTAAGTACCATGACAGCTCTGCTTAATGTTTCGATATCTATAAATTAAGATCACATAATATTATTAAATAAGAAAATAAAATTATAGAGACTTAATTATATTATTTTGTTTAACGTCTTGAGTAATACTATATGTAGTAGGTGAATGTTCATTTTGAGTACGTTCATCTTGCATATGTTTATCTTAAGCATATTCATCCTGAATATTAAGCAAATGTTCTCTTGGATTATAAATAATGGGAGTTTGTGATCTTGATTTTCGAATGATAGGGATTTGAGTTTGCGATTTTCTGAAGTTATGAGAACGTCCTCTCTAAATATTATTATGGTGAATGATTAGTATAACTTAAAAGCTTTTTTTTAATTATCTTAATCTCTCCCTCTTACAGAATGAGAACGATCTCTCACAAAACAAGATTAATTATCTCTTATGGAACGAGTATAATTATCTCTTATAGAACGAGTATGACTATCTCTTATAGAACGAGACCAACTATCTCTTTTCTTTGAGAAAAGAAACCTATCATTTCTTTTTGGAGAATGAGAACAACTATCTCTTTTTTTTGAGGAACAAGACCTGTCACTTCTTCTTGGGGAACAAGAACAACTATCATTTCTTCTTAGGGAACAAGAACAACTATCATTTCTTCTTGAGGAACGTGAGTTTGTGTAATGGTGATTTGAGTTTATGTTAAGCTTAGAATATTATTTTTGATAACACATTAGTACAAAGAAGAAACAAGAGAATGTAAAAATTAGTTTCTAAAAGAAAGTAAAGATCATGTTCTTTTATACCTTTATTTTTTAATAAACTCATAATGACGTATTATTGTAATTATTTTATTTCATAAAATTATATATCTATATATAATAAACGTCAAACACCTTTTTTATTGTTAAAAAACGATAATTAATATAAACTTTTTTTTTTCTCTTATAACAATGACAATTAATATACTTACATAACTTAAACTATTTATGGTTAGTGTAAAATCGTATAGTGATTATTATACAGACAACTTTTGTTATAACGAACTCTATGTCTTAAACCTCAACTTTGCTATAAGGCTATAGCGAAGATTTTAAGAGATTTGATTGGACAATTCGCTTTAACAAGAGTATTTTTATTATATTTATTCAAAAAATTCGTTATATCAAGAGTTCGCTATATTAAGAGTTGACTGTACTTAAAAAGAATAGTTTGATAATCATGAAATTGATATTCGTACCCCGTTTTATATCCATAATGGAGTATAAATAATAAATATTAATAAAATAATCCTTTTTTTTTTTATTCTCTTTTAATTCTCAAATTTAAAATGACAAGAAATCGAAAAACCAAAAAGTCGTTTATAAAGC